TTGTACTTCTTAACTTACTGGCTGGGCATGAAGGCGCAGTGAGGTACGAAGGTGACAGCTCATCAGCCCCTCCCCCACCCCCCTCCAGCCCCTCAGTCCTAATGGGTGTCACCTGTCCCCGTCCTAATGGGTGTCACCACAGGCGCCCCTTGACACACCTGAGACAGTGACCTCCAGGTGCTACAGTGTGTTGAGGCCCCGTGGTGGTGGAGGGCGTAATCCACGTCCCCTACCATACCACGTCCACGCCCACACCACGTCCACGCCCACACCACGTCCACGCCCACGCCCACCAGCAAGACCCAGTAAATTATCATTCATATTTTTAGCTTTGTGACCTGAAGCCAAGATGGAAAAAAATAGTGTGTGTGTGTGTGTGTTTGTGTGTGGATACTGTCCTTGTGGTACGTACAAAGGCGGGCCACAGGTGGACCACGGGCGGGCCATCATCACGCCACTAGATTGTATCCGAACATCACGCCTGCCCTCTCTCACACACACACACACACACACACACACACACACACAGGAGGGTCGAGTGGGGAGAAGGGCGAGTGTTGAGGTCATACTCATTGGTCTAAGGGCGAGCCACTAGGGGCCTACTCCGTGTACCCTGGGGGGGCGGGGCGGGCGGCGGGCGGGTGGGTCCTGGGGGTTTAGGGTAATTTTTCTTATGTTGTTATTTTCTGTTTAATAATTTGTCCTCTCATATTTTATTAAATTTTTTCATTGCTAGCACCTCCCACCTTCCCCTAGCACCTCACACCTTCTCCCTAGCACCTCACACCTTCTCCTAGCACCTCCCACCTTCCCCTAGCACCTCACACCTTCACCTAGCACCTCACACCTTCCCCTAGCACCTCACACCTTCCCCTAGCACCTCCACCCACCTTCCCCTAGCACCTCACGCCTCCCACCTCACACCTTCCCCTAGCACCTCACACCTTACCTAGCACCTCACACCTTCCCCTAGCACCTCACACCTTCCCCTAGCACCTCACACCTTCCCCCACTCCCCTAGCACCTCACACCTTCCCCTAGCACCTCACACCTCTCCCAGCACCTCACACCTTCCCCTAGCACCTCACACCTTCTCCTAGCACCTCCACCTTCCCCAGACTCACCTTCTACACCTTTCTACTCACACCTTCTCCTAGCACCTCACACCTTCCCTAGCACCCTACACACCTCATCAGCACCTGTGACCATCACGCCCACACTAGGATCTCCTCTCACTACCTCTGCCACACCCCTGACAACGCACCTGCCACCACCTACTTAACCACAACTATAAACACCAACGTCTCCCCCCACACCAACCCTGAGAGAGAGAGAGGGGGTAAATCTTCTCTCTCTCTCTCAGGATTCTACTTCACTACTCACTTACACCCACTACACCTACTTACACCTACTCTTGACTTAGCTACCCACTTACTTACACCCACATAACTACTAACCCACTACACCATCTTACACCCACTACACTCTACTTACACCCACTACACTACTTACACCCACTACTCCTACACCTCTCCTTTTTTCCTAACCTAACCTTCTCCATTACCCTCTATCCCCCTTCCTCCCTTTCTGCCTCACCCCCACTCCTCCCTCCCTCCCTCACCTTGACAGCAGCCACTAAGGATCATGTCAGACGAATATGTAACCCAATGAATGGCATAGCCTCTCCTCCTCCTTCCTCCTCCCTCCTTCCCCTCCTCCTCCCATCTCCTCTCCTCCCCCCTCCTCCCTCCTTCTTCTCCCTCCCTCCCCCTCCCCCAATTGTTAACACCATATAGGTAGGGTAGGGGGTAGGGGAGGGGGGAAGAAGGGAGATAAGGAAGAGGAGGCAAGGGAGGTAGATGGAGGGAAGGAGGGAGAGGAAGAGGAGGAGTAGAGAAGAGAGGAGAGGTAGAGAAGGAGGGAGGGAGGTAGAGAAGGAGGGGAGAGGTAGAGAAGGAGGGGAGAGGTAGAGAAGGAGGGGAGGGAGAGGGAGAGAGAGGTAGAGAAGGAGGGAGAGAGAGGTAGAGAAGGAGGGAGGGAGAGGTATTTTCTTCACCTGCTCTCAGTATTTCTGCCTCAGCGGCCGTCAGAGGGCAGAGGTAAGAGTCGGGTGGGGTCCGCTACCACTCTAATGGGTGTCTACGTGATGTGTGTGTGTGTGTGTGTGTGTGTGGTTGCGCCTAGGTGGAATGTGTATGGGTGGGTAATCAAAGGAGTGGGTGGGCTTTAGGAGAATGGCGGATGGGGGTGTGGGTGGGCGGTGGGTGTGAACGGCCACCCTCGGATAGAGAGAGAGATGTCCACCGGAAACTAACAATGGCGGGATGGAGAGGGAGGGAGGAGGGGAGAAGGGGAGGAGAGAAGGATAGAGGAGTGGGGAGGGAGGGGAGAGGGAGGGGAGGAGGGGGAGAGGGAGGAGGAGGAGGGGAGAGGGTAAGGAGGTAGGAGGAAGGAGGGGAAGAAATGGAGAAGGAAAAGAGGGAGGGAAGGGGTGAGAGGAGATAAAACGAAAGGAGAGGGAGGGAGGAGAGGTAAGAGAGACCAAATGAGAGGGAGGGGGAAAGAGAAGGGAAGGAGAGGGAGGGAGGTAGACAGGAGGGATAAAATGTCTAGGAGGTGCCTTCCCTCCCTCCCTTAATCTGTGGCCACCATCCCTACAGGTTGGGCAGGACCAGGGGGGAGGAGGAGGGGAGGGAGGGAAAAGGGGAGAAAGAATCATAGAAAAACACATACAAAGAGAGAGACAAGTAGACACAGGTAGACTCCAGGTAGACACAGGTAGACACAGGTAAGAGAGTCACTAATTGATTCTTCAGTCAAGGTGTGGCAGATGTGTGAAAGAGACAGATGTGTATATGTGTGTGTGTGTTTGTTTCCGTGCGTGTATGTATGCATGTATGTGTAAACGACAGACATATGTGTTACAAATGTCTCCATGAACCAGGTAGCAACACACACCTGTCCTCTGACTATCAATTAGTGTCCCACCATACAAGGCTCTGGTTATACAGGTGAGACTCAAGAGGGGTTACTGGTCCTTGGAGGGAGGTCGGGGATGGTCTATTGGTCTCGTGGTCTTTGGTCTCTGGTCTTGGATTTCCTCTCAATCTTGGCAGTTTGGGGAGGTGGGGGGTGAGGGGAGAGGGAGGTGGGGGTGAGGGGGGAGAGGAGGTGGGGTATGGAAGGGGAGGGAGGATGACTGGCAGGTAAAGATATCAGTGAACCAAATCAGTCTAGGTCGGGTTGCCTCCATTACCTGCCTGTATGAGTCACTGCTTGGTAACATTGTCACTACCTCTCACACCCCTCTCCCTACCCTCCTGCACCCCCTCTCCCTACTCCCCTCCTACACACCCCTCTCCCTCTTTCCCTACTCCCTCATGGCGTTCACTCTTAACCTGAACGTCCCAGTGAGTTCTCTACCGGCGTTCACTCTCCCTAAAACCCCTATGACCCAGGATGATGGTGGTGGTGGTGACGGTGGTGTGGTGGTGGTGGTGTGGTAGTGGTGGTGGTGGTGGTGGTGATTAAGTGAGACAGGAAACAACCTTAGTTTATCCTCTCTCTCTCTCTCTCTCTCTACCTGATAATCATTTTGGTGGACACTTGACCTAGCTATAGAATGAAGGGAGGAGAGAGAGAGCCAATAACTTACAGTGCCACAACATCAGGCACTGTCCTCCCAACATGGTCACGCTCCTTAATTAACCGCCCCCTTACACAACTGTTATCTTAAGATCTCACCTGTCGCTTTAAGATCTTGTCTCACCATCTTGTTATCTCAGACCACTTGTGAAGATAACATCAAGGAACCGGATATGTGTGTGTGTGTGTGTGTGTGTGTGTGTGTGTGTGTGTGTGTGTGTGTGTGTGTGTGTGTGTGAAAGAGACATACATAATTAGGTACACAGGTAGAAAATAGATATATAGAATGACTTGTTAAATTAATTAGACAGAGAGAGAGAAACAGACAGACAGACAGACAGACAGACAGATATACAGACAGACAGACAGACAGATATACAGACAGACAGACAGATATACAGACAGACAGACAGATAGATGATATACAGACAGACAGACAGAGACAGACAGATATACAGACAGACTTCCTTAACGAGCCTTATATACCCCCCGTGAGCCCTGGATATAGTGTGTGGAAGGTAGGAAAAGCTATCTACAAAGGTCATCTACAAGAATCAGGGTCACAGGGATACACAGGGTCACAGAGGTCAACAAGAGTAAAGCCTTAAGGTCACCCCTGACACCTGTAGGGACGAGAGGTGAAAAGGAAACACCTGTTGTTGATTGTGACGTAGTGGAGTGTCCTAGGGGTCTTGCTTGTCTCCTCCTATGTTTGTTAGTTTCTATTATCTTTCTTTCTCTATTTCTCTTATTATGTATTCTTATCTTTCTCTGATTAGTGTGTGTGTGTGTGTGTGTGTGTGTGTGTGTGTGTGTGTGTGTGTGTGTGTGTGTGTGTGTGTGTGTGCGTGTGTGTGTGTGTGTGTGTGTGTGCTATTCTGCCGTAATGTGTAGTAATGGAATGTATCATCATCATGAGTGTTGGATTACGTTATACACTCATTGAGATCACCTCGACCACACTGCCACACCACTGTGGCTAATGTGTGGTATGACAGAGACAGACAGACAGACAGAAAATATCGACACACAGACAAACAGCTTTTGATGACACGAAGAAAAAGAACAAAACATGATACGTAAACAGATGAAAAATCGTTCATAAATACACATGGGAAATAATAATAAGTTGCTACAAATTGCCACTGCACCGACAGCCTTCACTTCCCAAATTGTGTAGTCAGGTGACTCTCTTTGACAGCTGAGCAGAGTAAAGATTTGGATGTGAACCAATGCTCTTATGCTCAGGAGGTGAGAACTGTATCCACTTACCTACTGTACCCTATATCCTGTGTGTGTATGTGTGTGTGTGTGTTAGTAGATATCCACTAAACGAACCTAATTAACTGACTCACCTGTTGGAGATGCTACGTAGTGAAGATCTCCTGAAGAAGATGACGAGGAAGATGGTGTTGAGGACGGAAGACACCAGGAACACGATCACCAGCACCAGCGTTATAGCCACGGCCGTCACCCAAGCCGCCACACCTTCAGCGCCGCCGACAGCCACCATCACCACACCTGACAGACAAACACACACACATATATTTAGTCGGATATAATACCCTCTCTATTAATATTGTTCTACAGTTATTATTTATTTATTATTATTATTATTATTATTATTATTATTATTATTATTATCAGTCATTATACCCATACCTTGATTTTTGTACATTCTTAACTATAGGTGAGAGAGAGAGAGAGAGAGAGAGAGAGAGAGAGAGAGAGAGAGAGAGAGAGTACACGTAACCCCTTGAGTACTCTTGGTGGGGTAAGGACCTCCCTCTCTTTAGATAAACAAACCATTGAATGAGTCACACCTCTCTCTCTCTCTCTCTCTCTTTCATTATCTGACTCATGCGGTGAGTCTCAAGAATGGGGACGCCAAGACGGAAACAAGAGTGAGTCACGGTTAGTCATAAGTGAGTCAGCGAGTGAATTGATGATTCAATCAGTTAGTGAGTGAGTCAGTGAATGATTGAGTCAGTCAGTCAGTAAGGTTGCATTAATACAATGTCAAGTAACTGGTAAAAATGACCTAACACTACTGAACTACTGACTGTTAACTAGGGCTAACTGTTACAATGTCAAGTAACTGGAAAATGATGTAACGTAACACATTCTATAGGCCCTTCACTACAGATGCGGGTCGGCGGTGGTGATAGCGTAACGTAACACTACAAGATATTGACGTAACTCAAGCGTCACTCAAGGCCGTAACTCACTGAGGTGTCGTAACGCTCAACAGAAAGTGTATGTGTGTTTGAGGAGGAAAAAATATTGGTGAAGTCAAAGATATAATTTATTTTAAGATACGCGGTTGTGGTGGTGGTGGTTGTGGTGGTGGTTTGGATTGTTATTGTTGTTATTATTGTTGGTGTTGTTATTGTTGTTAGTGTTATTATTATTACTGATGTTGTTATTATTATTGTTGTTATTGTTATTATTTTGTTATTATTGTTGTTGTCAGCTATATACAGTACATTCCGCCTTAGTTGAGGACCTCAATAGATGGCGCTGTTCAGAGGTATTTCCTGTGTACTTGACTATACTGTGTGTGTGTGTGTGTGTTTACATTTCCTTGTATTAGTATTACCACGAACCTCTTGCAGTTATATGAATATTATGTGTATGTACGCGTGTTTGTGTGTGTAAGGCGTGTATGTGTATGTACGGGCGTGTATGTGTGTGTGTGTGTGTATGCAGTGTACTATTCATTCATTCTTCGTATTACTGTGTGTGTTTTGTCTATTGTCTATTTGTCTGTGTCTGTCTATCTGAGTTCGTTCTGTCTGGTCTGTCTGTCTGTCTGTCTGTCTGTCTGTCTGTCTGTCAGTATTTCCTCATTTACACAAAACTCATCGCCACGTAAATGTAAATGGAAGGTGAACAAACCAAACTCGATAACCAAAAAGTTGTAAAATATTGGAAAAAACCAGAAGACTTTATCATAACAGTTGTAAATGGATATACTGTACATATCTTACACCTGTGTAATAATTGTAAATAACCGTAAACAGTTTAGACCATTATAGTGTGAACGGTAAATTAATGTAAATGGTTTATACTCAATGAAGAAAACTACTTAAATTATCTTATGAAATTTACACAGCTACAGTTAAGGGAGTAGAAAGGGTCGTTAAGTGTCGTAGTTTAGTGGCGTCTACGACCTTAACTTAACGACCAGGACAAAAAAATCAAAATAACAAGATTAAAAATATATATAAAATCCCTAACCTTTAGTAGGAATAAATCAGGTTAATTTTAGATCAGGGAAATTTCTTCAGTTTTAGGATAGTTTTTTTTAAGGATTTTTGTTTAAGTTTTGAGGTTAGTGGGAGAGAGAGAGAGAGAGAGAGAGAGATAGAGAGAGATAGAGAGAGAGAGAGAGAGCAAGCATCGCATTCCTTCATTGGATCATGTTTTTCTGGTGAATATTATCAAGTTAGAGAATGCTGATAGGGTGTGGTGAGGGGGTGAGGTAAGGGAGGGAGTCAGTATATATATGGCTTCCTGGTGTGACGTAACAAACACACCGTCACAACCTAGTATGTGACGACCTGGGACTATACACCACACCTAAGGTACGCCGCGTCTATCAGCGTGAGGCGGCGTACCTAAAGGGGCTTCGCTTTACCTTCACTAGTTTTTGTGTCCATAGTGGAGGTGTGTGGCCGAGTAGTGCCCTCACACACACACGTAACAATAGTCTAATTCTTTCTTCTCCTCCTTGGTATCCCTCGTACACTTTTCACTCCAAGGAACAGTTCAGAGGTCCGTTTGTGTGTCCGTTTTGCGCAAGACTTGTTTTTGTGGAGGAGTGTTGGCCCGGGCTTGTGGCGGCCAGGTACCGCAGCTTATCTCATCTGGGCCACAGGACCTTGGCTTAACACACAACGTTAAGAGCTGTGACTCGGAGCTCGTGTGGGTGATGGTGGTGGTCAACACACTTCTTCCTCCACCATCTTGGTTGGTGGTGGTAGTGTGGTGGTGGTGGTGGTTAGAGGCACTGGTGGGCCACACAACGCTTGAGTGTCACCATGAAAACCCCTTTACTGCTACACCACACACACACACCTGCTCGTCTAACTGTAAAGTCGACTCCTCTACCACACACTCTCCTCGCTGGGTCGTCTGGTTGCCACCTCCCGTGACTCTTACACTCACTATCAAGAAAAAATATGTCCATTAATGGCCATCATGTATTGGGAGTGAGGCACTGTACGGCACTGTAACACAAGTAGATCACTGTTGGGCATCACGGAGGCACGACACTTGTAAAACGCAGCTCTGATCGTGTGTCCAGCTGAGACAATGTCCAGGGTGTAGTGACCACGAGAGCTGCCGGGGAGTGTGTGTGATCACAACGGCAGCTGGAGCAACACTGACTACCTCTGCCTGCCTGAGTGAGGGTGTGTGTATGCGGAGGAGACAAGGCCCCCAGGAGCAGCGGCACACACACACACACACACACACAAACTTTCAACCTGATGAGAAATAACTAAGGCCTTTCTGCGTCACCACTGGGTAAGGAAGACACATTGTAGCAATTCGTCACTCGCCACTTGTTCCACTCGTCACTCGCCACTTGTTTTACTCATCACTCGCCACTTGTTTTACTCATCACTCGCCACTTGTTTTACTCATCACTCGCCACTTGTTTGTTTTACTCATCACTCGCCACTTGTTCTCTCTCTTCACTGCCATTTGTTTATCTGCCACTTTTTACTCATCACTCGCCACTTGTTCTACTTTCCGCCCTTGTTTTCTTCACTCGCCACTTGTTTTACCATCACTCGCCACTTGTTCTACTCTTCACTCGCCATTTGTTCCACTCGCCACTCCTACTTCCTCACTTCTTACTCGCCATTGTGAGATAAATAGAGGTAGTGAGGTTCTGTGAGGTAATTAAGAGGTTGTGAGGTAATCAAGAGGTTGGTGGTAATTAGGAGAGGTTGTGAGGTACTGTGAGGTAATTAAGAGGTTGTGAGGTAATTAGGAGAGGTTGTGAGGTCATAATTACACAGTATGTGAGCCACCATCTGCTTTTATCCACCATGTGTGCCACAAGAGAGAGAGAGAGAGGGGGGGGAGAGAGAGAGAGAGAGAGAGAGAGAGAGAGAGAGAGAGAGAGAGATATTCTCATCCTCATCCATTCACACTTTCTGTCAGTCTGTCTGTCTGTTTGGTTAGGTTAGGTTAAGTAAGAATAGGTTAGGTTAGATCAAGGGTAGGTTAGGTTTGGTTGTGGGTTAGGGTTAGGTTAGGTTAGGTTTGGTTAGGTTTGGTTAGGCTAAGTTCATGATAGTAAGTTCAAACAAGGTTACTTCAAGGTCGACACATCAGGTAAAACTTGAAGGTAACGAGAAAGAGGAGGAGGAGGAGGTGGTGCTTGGTACTGTGTGTGTGTGTGTGTGTGTGTGTGTACGTTAACTGGCAGTATGTGTGTGTGTGTGTGTGGCCCTCTGGTGGTAATGATGACGATGACGACGAGAAACAGTTCCACCTGGTAACATACCTGTGGTCACCTCAGGTATGTCAGGCACGCTAAGTACACAAGTGTTTAAAACCTCAAAAACGCATATGTGTGTGTGTGTGTGTGTGTGTGTGTGTGTGTGTGTGTGTGTGTTGGGCTGCGTTCCTAGGAGGGGGGGTGTTGTGAGGGGTGGGGGTGAAGGGAGGAGTGGGGGGTGAAGGAGGAGTGGGAGGGGAGGGAGGAGCTGTTAAGTTTCTCTCTGTCAGCTGGGGGTGTTTGTTTGTGGTGACTCCTCCTCCTCTTCTTCCTCCCCTCTTCCTCCTCCTCCTACCCTCCTCCTCCTCCTCCTCCTTAGTCTTCTGTCCTACTCCTCCATCTCCATCTTCTTTCTACCTCATCCCCCTCCTTCCCTTGTCTCTATCTCTGTCTATCAGTACACTTAGCCTAACCTAACCTAACCTAACCTAACCTCCCTCAATTAATTCTAGCTAATATGACAGTAGCCGAACACACACACACACACACACACACACACACACACACACACACACACACACTGGGATAATTGATGCGTCACAATTATTATTATTATTATTATTATTATTATTATTATTATTACTGTTGTTGTTGTTGTTGTTGTTGTTGTTGTTGTTGTTGTTGTTGCTAATGTGTGATGTAAGAAATATTTTATCCTCTCACTGAAGTTTCGTAAGATGTTCTGTTATTTATTAATTTATTTGTTTGTTTACATAATTCAGTCTACACATTTGTTTTCTGATTGATATTTTATTATCGTGTGTGTGTGTGTGTGTGTGTGTGTGTGTGTGTGTGTGTGTGCGTGTGTGTGTGTGTGTGGTGTCTAGTACCTCTTTCTATGTCATAATTTCCTGCGGACATAATTCGAACAGCTAAATAGATTAGATGGAACAGACACGACCAGTCCTTCCCCCTAATACTACTGCCTGACCCGGAAATAAATCCATGCCTAAGAGTTATTTCCGGTTTATCTTGAGGAAAACATTACATAGCACCATCTTTATATAATAGTTTCTTATGTTTATTCTTTAAGACACGTTTTGGTTTAATTTATTCTTTGAGACGAGTTTATTTATTTTTTATCATTATTTTGTGTTTTGGTTTAATTATGGGAGGTACAGTAAATTATTGTGAAGGGAGAACAAAAATTGAGTATTTTTTAGTGTGTGTGTGTGTGTGTGTGTTAGTCGGTCTCTTAGATGAAATCCGTATCAGTTAGGTTAGTTAGGGCAGCTTTTAGGTGGTTTATTAGGTAAGCTGGGTGGTAAATGATGATGGTATGACAACTCTCTCTCTCTTCTCTCTCTCTCTCTCTCTCTCTCTCTCTCTCTCTCTCTCTCTCTCTCTCTCTCTCTCTCTCTCTCTCTCTCTCTCTCTCAATGCCCGTTATGTCTTCCCTCAGGACAACGCCCCATTAGCCTACCCCACTCAGACATTCACAAGGACATTCTCTGTCTCTTCTCTCTTCTCTCTCTCTTCTCTTCTCTCTCTCTCTCTCTCTCTCTCTCTCTCTCTCTCTCTCCCTCCCCCTACCTCTCCCCCTCCCTCTACCTACACCTTATCTCCCTCCCCTACCTCCCTCTCTCCCCCTCCCCTACCTCCCTCTCTCCCCTCCCCCTACCTCCCTCTCTCCTGCCTCTTCCTCCTCTCCCCCCTCCACCCACCTCCCCTCTCTCCCACCCTCCCCCTACCTCCCTCTCCCCCCTCCCCTACCTCCCTCTCTCCCCCTCCCTCTACCCTAAGCTGGCGTGGCATGGGCGTGGCTGAGGTCCCACGTTGGCACTTCTGATTTAATGAACGAGTGGGCGACCTTGTTTTACCTCCCTCCTGACACCCATCTAGTGTCAGCAGAGTCATAGGGGTGAGTGTCAGCAGAGGTCGTAGCGGTGAATGTCAGCACAGGTCGTCTGGGGTAGATTTTTTTTTTTTATTGCCTCGGAGGGGCTAGTTTATCGGGCAGAGGTCATAGGGCAAGTGTCAGAAGAGGTCATGGGCGCGAGTGTCAGTAGAGATCATGGGCGCGAGTATCAGCAGAGATCATGGGCGCGAATGTCAGCAGAGATCATTTGGGCGAGTGTCAGGAGATGTCGTGGGGGCGGCTGACAGCAGAGGTCATGTGGGCGAGCTGACAGTAACGAGGAACAAGAATATATCCAGTTTATTTTATGACTTGACTTGATCTCTTCTGGTGTTGTGTACGAATTATTGGAATGATGACGTCAGTGATTAATGGGAATGATGACGTCAATGATTAATGGGAATGATGACGTCAATACAGGTCTCTTGTTTACGTGTACAGATGAAGGAGTTGGTACAGATACAAATATAACTACAGGTACAAGTTATAACTACAGGTACAAGTTATAACTACAGGTACAAGTTATAACTACAGGTACAAACATAATAACAGGTATATCTATCTATATATAATCACATATATATAAAAGTCACATATATTACGGGCGAGAGTCACATATATAAAGACATACTGCCAATATTTCTCACGGTGGGATATATACAGAATGTGTGTGTCTCAGTCTAGGTAGGAAGCAGTGAGGTGCCTGCCGAGATGTTACGGTGAGATATACCAGAAATATTCCTCACGTGGTTAGTGTTTTTACTGAGAGAGAAAGAGAGAGAGAGAGAGAGAGAGACAGAGAGAGAGAGAGAGACAGAGACAGAGAGAGAGACAGAGACAGAGAGAGAGAGAGAGAGATCAAAACAATATAAACATTAGGAGATACCTACCCTTAAGAACGCCCCAAAATTTTCCAAGCGACAAAAGGACAAAAGTAGGAGAGAAAAGATCCTATTTGAGAGGGAATTGGAAACGTGAAAAGGATGTTTTATGGGAGTGAAATTGCCTCGATTAAATGAGGTTTGGTGAGCTGTAAGGAGGCATAGAGAGAGGTCATGTCTGTGTGTTGAGAGCTGTACGTGTCGACCCGAGTGACCACGTCCGCTTAGAGGTCGTACGATGAGGGTGAGCCTGAGTGTATGATGAGGGAATGTTGCTTGACTAAAGACGATAGACTCTCACCAGTTAGGTTAGGTTAGTATCAGTGTGGAGAGTATATTAACACTGAGACTCTACCTTAACTAGATACCTTCACTTAACACTGAGACTCTACCTTAACTAGATACCTTTACTTAACACTGAGACTCTACCTTAACTAGATACCTTTACTTAACACTGAGACTCTACCGTAACTAGATACCTTCACTTAACACTGAGACTCTACCTTAACTAGATACCTTCACTTAACACTGAGACTCTACCTTAACTAGATACCTTTACTTAACACTGAGACTCTACCTTAACTAGATACCTTTACTTAGTACCGGTTATTTCTTCTTTAAATGTGATTAAAATATATCTGTTTAAGACCCAATTACACCTTAACTACAGTACTCGCTTCCAATCCTGTAGGTCGTTGGTTCGATCCCCGAGGCACCTCACAGTCCACCCAGGTGTAAACAGGTACCTGACGTTACAGTTGACGGAGTGAAGATGGTCAAGTACATTGTCGGGCCATGGTGCTGGTGGTCGAGTACAGTGTCGGGCCATGGTGTTGGTGGTTGAGTACAGTGTAGGGTCATGGTGCTGGTGGTCGAGTGCAGTGTCGGGCCATGGTGCTGGTGGTCGAGTACAGTGTCGGGCCATG